ATATCTTCGAGTACTGTGTGGGCGCATGTCGCCAGTTTGCTGTATCGCTGTTTGCATGCATGATGAAGTGTGAATAAGCCGAGTCTGATTGCACTGGTATCGGAGCAGGTACCCGCTGTTCCACGCGCGTCGTCGTATGCAGGGCCGGTGCGCCATAGTCGAGGTGGCTGCCGAAGGAGACTGTCCGCCATAGCGGACCTTGAGGTGGAAGACGCCGCCACGCACCTGCATCAAGGAGATTACGACGAAGAAGAAGACAGAGAGAGAGAGAGAGAGAGAGAGAGAGAGAGAGAGAGAGAGAGAGAGAGAGAGAGATGAGTGATACAAGATTGGTTACTTACCTGCTGCGCTGAAGATACCGCTACGGTGAGAGAGAGAGAGAGAGAGAGAGAGATGAGCGATCCAAGATTGGCTGTTACTTACCTGTGGGGCGAGTTGCGGAGTCCGGTGGTGGAAGAAAGACAGCGGCCATAGCCGCGGAGCTGTAACACAGAGTACCGGAGGAGAGAGGAAGGGAGGACAGAGAAGGAGGGACTACGGAGAGAGAAGCAGAAGCGTGGAAGGAGGAGATGGAAGAAGAAGACAGACATAGCCAGGGGTGTTCAAAAAAAAAAAAAAAAAAGAGAAAGTGAAGAAGAAAGAAAGTGAAGGAAAAGGAGGTAGACGACGAGGGTGACGAAGGTGAAGGTGCCGGCAGCCATAGCCGAGGTGAAGGTTGACCAGGGAGTTGACCAGAGGGTGGACCAAGGGTTGACCCGGGGGGTTGACCAGGCGTTGACCAGAGGGTTGACCAAGGGTTGACCTGGGGGTTGACCAGGCGTTGACCAAGGGTGTTAACCAAGCGCTGACCGGAGGGTTGTCTGCGTTGACTCGGTGTTGACCAAGTGTTGATCGGAGCTGCTGACCAAGATCTTGACCAAGCTGGAGTTGGTGATATCTCGCTGTACCCTTAGCCTATCCCCTTACCCTGTGGATGTGCACACACCCCACGGTACTTGCTGAGTCTGAGTCTGTCTGTGTCTCCTTTCTGCATTGAGTCTCTTCTGTCCTAGGTGCTAGACTCTGTGGATGAAGGATAGGGCCTTGCTGCCAAACCTGCACGGGCTTAGTAGGACCAAAGCTCTACTCTGGCACTTGGAGACCTGGGCATGAGTGGCGAGCGCTCGTTAAACAACTCGTCTAGCCCAATGACCGGTACTGTCCGGCAGGTCTACTGAGTTCAGTGTAGAGGGTCTGAACTCCGAGCTGTAGGCTGAAACGAAGGTCGTCTTTAAGTGTTGAGGCTTGGGTGAGCCACTCCCCTACCGGACCTAGTAAGGCTGATGATTTGTGTCTGACGACCCGACTGTCCCGAGGGATACGAACCCCTCCAAGGACCGGTACAGACCGGCGGGCTGCTCGGTGTGGCACAGTAGGTCGGAACGGCTGAGTTGTGGCTGAAATCGCCAGAGGAACCAAGCTGATCACGTCGTCCTGTCTGCGACGTTGAAGAATTCTTGCGGAGTTTGGGGGATCTCCTTAAATGCCTCCTGATCAGCTCTTGGTTCTGTAGTGACAGCCTTAGAGTAGTCTTGGGTTAGTAGTGACCATAGTTGACAGGGTCTTATCCTGTGGTCTTTAGGGAGTCAGTCAGTAGGTCAGTGTGTCCGGGTAGGTCTACGTGGTGAGGAGTGGGACCCTTGTCGTGCACCAACACCACGATGGATAACTATCCGATGTATGGGTTACTTGTTGGGTTCTCCCTCTGGGGGACCCTTTGGCGTCTCCTCTTTCCTCTGGGCTTCTGGCCCACTGTCGCGTGTAGAGTAGGGACTCGTGGTGGTACTTCCACCCAACCTTACACGAAGGAGGAGGAGGAGAAGATGGCCGCCATCCTGCAGGAGAGAAGGGAAAAGAAAGAGGCCAAGAAGAAGGCCCTACAGGAGGAGCAGGCGGCCAAGTTGAGAAAGATTGAGGAAGAGATAGCCAGAGAGAAGGAGAGAATCAAGAAAGAAGAGGAGCAGAAATTGAAGGAGGTGGAAGAAGAAGAAGAGGAAATGTCGCTGGTAATGAATAGGGGGCAGCACAGTGGCAGCAACGGTGGGGACTTGGAGAAGAGGATATCCGAATGGGTTGCCAATCTGACTGTGGGAGAAGAGGAGGAGGTTAATATGTACATCTCGCAGGATCAGCAAGAGGCTGCCATGAGGGCTTGGGATGCAGAGAAGGATCCCCTTAGACGGCAGGCGTTGGACGACGAGAAGAGAATGAAGTGGAAATTGGCAGTGATGAGGGAGAAGAAGAGGAGGGTTGATAAGGCAGCGGAGGCGGCAAAGGCATTAGAGGAAGTGAAAAAGATAGAAGAGCAGTTAGCCGCCCAACTCGATCTCCCGAATCAGATGCGAGTCATAGCTCGAAGTGTCGCGTGCCTGGCACGGGTTCAGGCGGACAAATATGACTTCAGTAGGAGTCAAGATATAGCTGTGCGCTCGATACGATTGGGCTTTTGGGACTTTGATCGTGAGCTGGTAGGCGCCATTGGAGCCGAGGTGGGTCATCGCCTCGACAAGACTGAACGGTTTTGCGCTGGCGCCATTGAAGGCGTCAAGGCGGCAGCTCCCAAGGAGGAGGAAGCACGTCCTTCTCGTCGGGAGCCGGTCAAAGTCAAATTCCCCGATTCCTACAGTGGAAAACGGGAAGAAAACTTTGACAATTGGGAGGCCAATGTTAAGACCTATGTGCATTTGCAACAGGTCTCCCCAGATCAGCAAGTCCTAATTGGAATCCACGCGCTTAGGGATGAGGCCGCCAGCTTTGCAAGGTCCTTAGTTCGTGCTGCCAATTGCAATGACGATCCGGTTGCATATTCGTCATTCACTCCCCTCACCGAATTCATGAAGTTGCTGCGCGAGCGATTCGCAGATGTCGCTTGCAGTGTTAAGGCTTCAAACAAACTTCAGACAATCCACGCCCGTAAGTGGAAGAGTGTCAGGGCACTCAAGAGCACCATGGAAGAATTGATAGCTGTCCCTGACCACAAGGTTACAGACACCCTGTTGGTTGCCCTCTTCTACCGGGCGATACCCGAAGCCCTTCGAGGGCATTTCTTCACAAAGAGCAAAGACCCTGCCGCTACGTATGATTCGCTTAGTCGCGAAGTGGTGGCCTTCGAAGCCAAGTCTATGTCTGTATCCACCTTCTGGCACAAAGACTTGGACAAGGGTAAGAAATGGAAGGGCCACACTATCTCAGGGCAAGTGAAGACTAAGGATAGTCTTGTCCTAACTTTAGATAGAGGTAGTGTGGAGGAAATCCCCTACGAGCAGATCGAGTGGGGGTTAGAGGAGGAGGACGGCAGTATGGGCCAGGGGAGGACTTACGCTGCCGTCGCGGCCGGAGGGAGGCCGCAAGGAGGAGGACGAGGCCAGGGTCAAGGGGGCCGGGCCTCTGGGAGCCGGTTCCAGGGCGATCAGGGGGTTGGCGGCAGAGGAGGGAACCGCCAAGCGGGAGGAAGGGGTCAAGGTCCCCCGCAAAACCGTCCTAGGGCTAGATATCCCTACAGGGTAGGAGGATGGCACCCGGGGCTACCACAGGGTAGACCCTGGGAACCTTTGGGTCTGGACCAGAGCCTATGGCAACAACGATTGGACCGGGGCCAGTGCATTTTCTGCGGTGACCCGGGCCATATCATCAAATATTGTCCTAAGTATCATGAGACCCGAACAGCTGCTCAAGGGCCAAAAGGCAGCCGCCGGTAGGGGTAGCAACTGCCCCTACCACTAGGCCATGTGGGGAAAATAGCGCTAGCCGGCAGGAGACTCCCACACCACATGTGCCTATGGCAAAGGTTGCAGGCCGGTGTCTAGACAGCTGTCCCGAAACTGCTTGTGTTAGAGTTTCGCTAGACACCTCCCTCACAGGCATGGGCGAAGAATTGAAGGAGAGGATGCCCGCCTGGGCCAAGATGAAGAAGGAGAATAAAGGACAACTAATATTGCTAGATATAGAGATTTTTAGAGGTAGAGTAGGGGCCCTAGTAGACTCAGGGGCCACCCACAACTGTATTAGTAAGAAAGCGCTGCAGAAGTTTAAGCTGGGACTTAAAGTCCAAAAGCTAGCAGACCCTATAGTTAGTATCCTCGCGGACAATCGTACTATGGTTGTAGAGGATTACGTAGAGGGAGTTCGGGCATACTTCCGCCTAGAGAAAGATGGGAAAGTGGAGAAGGTCCTCCACTCCCTGCCTCTCCTCGTAGAGGATAGCCTCCCTTTCGACATTGTTCTGGGAATGGATTGGGGAGAGGCAGTTGGGGCCACGCTCCATCTGAAGGAGAACGAGTGTAGGCTCCCTAGCTCTTCGGGCAAGGCTAAAACTCCCCGCCTGTTCCATGTGTCAGGAGTAGAGAATTCCTTAGCGCATTGCTGCCTTAGTGCCCCTGCGTTCGCCAAACTAGTGAAAAAGGAGAAATTCGAGGAACAGGTCTTTGTTGCCTATGTTAGGCCAGTCACTGAGTCTAAGGAAGAAAAGCCTCTAGACCTTGCTATTGCCAAGCTGCTGGAAGAGTTTAAGGATTTGACGGCACCGCCGACAGGCAAGGTGCCGCAGCCCATCCAGCACCGTATTGAGATAGAGCCTGACAGTAGAACTCCTAAGGGTGCTGTGTATAGGATGTCCCTGCGAGAGTTAGGGGAGCTTCGCAAGCAATTAGACGAGCTCCTCGAGAAGGGTTGGATTAGGCCCAGTTCGTCTCCCTTTGGAGCGCCTGTTCTCTTCGTCCCTAAGAAAGAGAGAGAGCTAAGAATGTGAATAGACTATAGGGGTCTGAATGCTATTACCGTGAAGAATGTTGAGCCACTGCCTAGGATAGACGATCTCTTAGATCGAGTGCAGGGGGCCAAGTATTTCTCCAAGATAGACTTGAAGTCCGGATACCATCAGATAGAGGTTCACCCTGATGATCAGTATAAGACAACCTTCCGGACTAGGTACGGGCACTATGAGTTTATAGTGATGCCCTTCGGACTGACCAATGCGCCAGCAACGTTCCAGCGCTGTATGAACGATTTGTTTAGGCCGTGGTTAGATAGATTTGTTGTAGTTTACCTAGATGACATTCTAGTGTTTAGTAAGACCCTCAAAGAGCATCAGGGTCATCTCAGGCAGGTCTTGGAGAAGCTGAGGGAAGCCAACTTCAAGATCAATGCGAAGAAGTGCGATTGGGCGAAGACCCAAGTCCTGTATCTAGGCCACGTCTTAGACGGAGACGACATCAAGCCAAAGGATAGCAAGATCGCAGCGATTAGAGATTGGCCCACGCCACGTACGCTGACAGAGTTGCGCTCGTTCCTGGGCTTAGCTAATTACTATAGGAAGTTCGTGAGGAACTTCTCTACCATCGCTGCACCCCTTCGCAGATTACTGAGAAAGGAGACCATCTGGAAGTGGGATAAGGACTGCACGTCTGCCATGAAGAAGTTAAAACAGGCGTTAATAGAGTATCCAGTCCTTAAGGTCGCCAACCCGTCCTTGCCCTTCGTCGTCGCGACCGATGCAAGTCAGTACGGCATAGGCGCAGTGTTGCAGCAAGACGATGGCAATGGGTATAGACCCGTAGAGTTCATGTCCGCCAGGATGCCTTCCGAGAAGGTCGCGACATCTACCTATGAGAGGGAACTCTACGCTCTCAGGCAAGCCTTAGACCACTGGAAGCACTACTTGCTTGGGAGGCACTTCAAAGTCTATTCTGACCATGAAACGTTACGATGGTTAAAGACGCAGGCCAAGATGACACCTAAGCTTACTAGGTGGGCCGCCGAGATAGATCAGTACGACTTTGAGCTCAAGCCTGTCAAAGGGAAGTACAATGTAGTCTCGGACGCTCTGAGTAGGACGGCAGATTACTTTGGGGCCATAGTGCATTACCTCAATATAGGGAAGGACCTGCAACAGAAGGTCAGAGAAGCTTACGCGCAGGACCCTATCTATAGTGAGCTCCTTAAGAAAGTCAAGGAGGCCCCAGAGACTGAGCCAAATTACCGCACTACTGAAGGGTTGCTTTTTCAGAAGACCAATGTGTTTGACCGCCTGTGCATCCCCAATAGTGAAGAGATTCGTAGTCTGATTTTGGGCGAATGCCATGACACTGAGGGTCATTTTGGTTGGCAAAAGACTTTGGCCAATTTGATGCGCGCGTATACCTGGCTAGGGATAAAGAATGATTGCGTAGAATATGTTCGCAGTTGTAAGGTTTGCTAGCGTAACAAGAGTTCTACGCGCGCCCCGCTAGGTCTTCTCATACCCTTACCCATTCCAGACCAGCCAGGGGACTCAATGTCCATCGACTTCATGGACACTCAAGTCAAGAGTAGGCATGGCAAGAGCCAAGTCATGGTCATAGTTGACCGTTTTAGTAAGTACGCAGTTTTTGTTCCCTTGCCTTCAGAGGCACGTACTGATTTAGTCATACATAGATTTTTTGACTGCTGGGTTAGTGAAAATGGAATCCCACTGTCTATAGTTAGCGATAGAGATAGTCGCTTTACCAGCCAGAACTGGCAAGAACTCATGGGGGTATATGGATCTAAGTTGTTGATGTCGTCCGGCCGTCATCCAGAGACTAACGGTCAGACAGAGCAAATGAACAAAATCCTACAGCAAGTTCTGCGCATGTACATTAGGCCAGATCAGGTTAACTGGGATGAGATGTTGCCCAAGGTAGCTAGTTCGTATAACAACAGTGTGCACCTGTCCACGTGCCGCACTCCCAACGAACTGCACAAGTCCTTTAGACCGCGTAGACCGTTTGAGGGACTCAACCGGGATCAGATTCACAGACTGCCGCCCGGGACCAGGGAGTTTGCTGTACAGCACAAGAAAGAACTCGCTAGTAGAGAATCTCAGGAAGGCCCAGCATAGAATGATAGAGCAAGCGAATAGACATCGTCGCCCTTCACAATTCCAGGTAGGCGACTTAGTCTGGGTCAGTTCTAAGGAGTTTGCACCTGAGGAGAACATCTTGCAGAAGTTACTACCTACGTATAGAGGACCGTGGCCTGTTCTAGAAGTCAAGGGCGGCGAAGATGGACCGTCCTATACAATAGAACTCCCACCACACCTCCACACTTACCCAGTTTTCCACGCATCGAAGTTATTGCCTTGCCATACTAGTGATCAGTTTCCATCCCGTAGGTCTATGATTCCGCCCGATATGGATGGAAGGTATGACATTGATGGCAAAGTGGCTGAAGATGTATTCAGGGCTGGAGGTAGAGGCCGTCCACAGAAACAGTATAAGGTTCATTTTTGTTATCAGGAACCGGAAGACGGCCGCTGGTTTACACGATCTGAACTTCTAGAAACAGCTCCCGATATTGTCCGGGCCTATGAAAGACAACAGAGGGGTAAAGGTCCTGCCTTGGACTGAGAATTTTCTCGGAGGACCTCGAATTTAGGCCGGCAAGAGTAAAACGGTATTCACCAGTTCGCAGTAGCGAATGCAGATCCCAGGTCTCGATCCCTAGTTCCCCATCTTACCTGTGTATAGTACGGATGTCAACCCA